CTGCAAACTGATTTCAAGGTCAACTGTTGGCTGTTCAAAGTTAGGACCGATTTGCGCATTACAATCAAAGCAAGCAAACTTGTACAAATTAGCTTCAAATGCGTGTATACAGTATAGTGTTTGCCGTTTGCGGTCAGCCCGTAAAGGTCAAGCGTTTGTCAGCGAAATGCCAAATATTTCGCCTGTTTCTTTTGAATTGTGAGCAATCATGTAGAAATAATTTATTCGAGTGGTCGAAATTCAAAAGAAACAGGCGAAATATTTCGCATTTCGCTGACAAAAAGCGCTCGTGGAATCAGGGCTTTACAGTCAATTTTACGAGTACTCAATGACAAGAAACATTGCATAATGTATTCATTCAAGAGAGCGCAGCACTGGCAGCAGTACGCGCCTTTGTGGTCAATTTTAAGAGTAATTTCATTAATAATTTTCATCTTTGTCTAATTATGCTTGAAGATAAAAATATAAAGAGCTCAATGCTTAATAGCTTAATTAATGTTTAATCGGCACAGTTTTTAACCAATCAGAATCGAGTAAATTGATTTAACTGATATTAATTAATTAATTACATGCATTACATCTCCCTTTCCATGAAATAAAAATACAGTTCAACCATATGCATATACATCTAGTGAGCAGGGGCACACATATAGATTTTGACTGGGGGGGTTGACTGGGGAGCAGGGGGGTGTAATCACGAAATGAGACAGACCCACCACTGAAATGCGATCGTGTCTGTTAGATCGCACTCACACGCAAGAGTCAAGAGTTCACAGAGGCGTTCCTGGTTCATTACTGAACGCATAACAGTTTTCACTAATTTCAGCTTTGAAAAGCTGCCCTCGGCAGAAGCGGATGTTACAGGAACTATCAGGCGCGTAACTAGGATTTTTGATTGACCTAGACACTTCTGGGGGTCTGGGGACATGCTCCCCCAGAAAACGTTTCATTTTCTAAGGCTTAGAAATGCTATTTCCTGCATTCTGGGAGCAATTCAAACGAAAAATCAATTTCATAAACAGTGACACGATGACTATAATTTTATACTGTAGTTTGCCCCCAATCCTGAGGCTAAGAATTACAAATATTCTTGGTCGAACATGATCAGGTGCATAATAAAAAAATTGTTTGTGCCCAATTGTGGTAGTAATTGTGACGCTAGCCCGCACTTTTGTTGTTGGGATACTTATGAATCTACACAGCCTCCCACTTCTTACGTCACTGTAGAGCAAGAAGAATGCTTCTTCACATGGAGAGAACTACAGTTTGTTGTTGAACTTGAGTTTTCCTATTTTAAATTTTTTCACGAATATTCTTACCGAGTCACCGACTCGATTGACTCATACCTAGTTATGGACCTGACTGTAAGCAACAATTGGAAACATCGCCTAGTAAGTGGAAACAATGTTTCGCTCCGGGATTTCAGATAAACCAGGGCGTCGTTCACTGATCGAATTTCTTGATTGCAGTAGGCATATAAAACTCTTTGGTAACAAAAGGCATCTGCATATCGTGTTACATGTGAACATACTTCCGAATATAACTCGGCTAAAAATTCGTTTTTGCCCTTTGCATGTTAAAAATATAGTTTTGGGACCGGAGAAATATTGTAACTAATGTAAAGCTATTTTGATCGAGATTCATCGCATTTCCGAGTCTGATTTTGGAGGTTTGAAATTTTCGCTAATAATAGAATATCACTCGTGAATGACCTTGCAGAACCTAAATTTCAAATAAAAGTGCAAACACATAAGATATCTCCATGTTTGGAAAGTAAATGGAAACTTCATGCCTTGGCGCATTTTTTAACTGATAATTCGTTCATAAACTCGCGAAATATGTACGTAATATTTCTTCATATTATTTCTGAGCTGCTCGATTCCGTTTGAGCAAATTTTCTGAACTCAATAGTTTGAGTCTGAAACGTCTCCGAGTTTCAACTTTGCTTTGCAAAGCACCGCATGTAAACAAACGCATAATTTTGAGACCGACTGCACTTAGTTTGTGACCGACTGGATCATCTCTGGGGTAAATAAAGTATTTTCAAGTTTATTTTTCCTGTAAAGAAAATATTGTACACTACTACTGTAGTATATAGATAACATTCAGAGTTTCTTGATTTAAATTACTTGAATAGCCAATTAAATTAGTTATTAGTTCACTAGTCATTCAGATTGATAACGCTTTGGTTAAACACTGATTCGTCCATACCGAGTTCGAACTACAGGATTAATTTATCCATTCGTGACGAATAATTTCCGAACTGGGTTATATGAACCGGAAGTTCATTGAAAGTACTCGTAGAATTATTTTCCTGTGAGTGACGACAATTTCGTCATCATATTTGACCATATACGATCTATTGGAGACTCCTGCTTGCTAACAACCGTTGCTGGAAGCCATTTTTCTTTTTCTGGACCCAAACTTTCTGTCCAATTTAGTGGCAATTCTTGAATACACCGTCTATCATCAGCCTCGTACCCAGGCGCTTATAAGGAAAATCGCGCTAATGAAGCACTTCAAATATGCAATAAATAGTTCGGCGGTTAAGCTGAGCGAGCGCGCAGGGCTGCTTGGGGAGGACTATATATAACACTGAAGTGCTTGCTTATTTGAGGTGCTTGCTTAGCGCGATTTTCTTTATAAACGCCTGTGTATGAGGCTGGTCTATCATAACCATCTTCTTGAATCTGCTTCTCTAATGCTTGCTTGACTTGCGCAGTATTTCCAGACACCAACAACGATTGCTTTACGTTTTAAGGCGTCAATTCGTCAACACAATTGTGAAAGAGACAATCCAATACCTTAGAGAGGAGTACTCCTATGATCCAACAATGCTTTATATGGAGTCTTGAGTTTTCTTTAGTAGACTCTTTGCTGTTTGAACCGCAGCTCTCTTCACATATCTGTTAGACTGCGAGTATCGGGGACTTCATGTTATGCTTAAAACCATAACTCCTCTGAAAATCTTCAAAGACTTGACTTGCAGACTGCAGTTCATTGTCAGAACGTATCGCATCAGGAATTCCATAAGTCCCATAACGTGCGAACATATTCTTTTCTACAGCCTTGCTATTTCAGGCCATTTAGAGTTATAATCCACGCAAAGGATGTAATGAGAATCTATCCATTTCCTATGGATGACTTGGACTTTCTGACGTGATCATTCACATCTTGCAACAAGCTCTTCAATGTGAATTGACATTCCAGGTCGGAACAGTATCGTTCAACAAGCTCTCGCTCGTTGTTTGACCAAGTGAGTGGGGTTTATTATAATGCCTAAGTGAGTGCGACTTAGCATCTCCGATTTTAGAACTTTATGTCAATGATTCTGTTACTCTTACCCTTTACTGCTTGCGTCTACTGATGTTATAGGGATTTTTACGTCTTGGTATCGATGAACTGGAGTGAATGATGTCAGTTGCTTAAGATTTTGCAGTGAAAACTATATCTTCCTGACTTTTATCCCAATGCGACACCGCTGTATCCTTCTCTACCAGCTTTCTTAATAATGGAGCACTTTCTTCGGATAAACTCCTGAGATACTGGATGAATCCTAGAAACCTCCAAACTTCACTAAAACCTTTGGGGCGTTCCATTCGACCACGACACAGATATTTTCAGGGTCTGCTCGAACACCATCAGCTGTTAACAGATGTACATGTATTTCTTTAAGCTAAATCTCGACTGGTGTGATTTTGCTTGTTCCAGCTGAACTTCCAGTAATCTTTGGTCATGTACGTTGTTCCATATTTTCACCCCACACGATGATGTCATCCATAATTGAACCTTCCCGCTACCACCCTTTTTGGTTCCATGCGTTCAGCTCAGCTTTAATGGCATCTTTAAGGGCTATTGAGACTTTTCGAAGTGGAAGCACCTTGCTGTAGTAGCTTAATAAAGTATTCCCTAGGGAGTCATTTTTAAGATCAATTAACATATTTGATTGTTTACAGGTAGTTCGCTGCGACAATTCATGAACCCTCTCGACCAAATTCAAATCTTTGCAGGTTTTAGTACTCAAAATTGAGGATGTCTTTATGTCTACTATGTAAAACGTTTCTCCAAAGGTCGTGCCTTTTATATGATACAGTAAAACTGTCGTTGGGTGTCCTGAATAGGATTTAACTTTTGTCCGATTTAGTTTTGTAAAAGCCCCAAGCTGTTATAGACAATGGTAGTACTACATTTTGTCCAGTGTCTAATTGAAATTTGCCTGATTTATTGTTAATACATATAGTTAATGTTTCGTACCACTCATTACTTTTGTCTACTACACAACCGATGAATATGAAGTCATCATCACCGCTTTGGTCTTCTACATGAACTCCACTGATGCACTTTAGCTTTTTCCGAGTTGATCCAGCAGCAATCTTGCACACTTTGGTAAAGAGGTTATATTTATGACATTTATTACATTGTTTATCTTTCGCAGGGCATTTACATCTCCTGTCATTGTTTTTAACTGAGCATCAGACAGTTCCATTGTTAGCCCAAAATTGACAACTTTTTCCAGAGTAAGTGCATGAAGATACTTCTTGAATTACAATCTGGCCCTGACTTTGGTACATTTAACTCAAAATACAATTCTTTCTTTGACCACTTCGTTTCCTCCTAGTGTCCACAATCTCGTCTAACAATTACGTTCAGTCACAAAGTTCTCAAATGTTTCGTCATCGTCTTGAACTTTGGTGTGAAACAAGTATCGCGCAAAGACTTGATTTGACTTTGGTAAAGTTTACGTAAACATCGAATTTCCCGTACATGTTTTTTCTTCTCGTCTGTTAAAGCAAACGTTTGGTCCGGTTCCGTACATACATATTGACAAATTATGTAAGAATATTGTTTCAGCTATTGGCCCTTTAAAACGCAACTAGGCTACACTGTACCAAGCTTTCGTTTCTGTTAATTTAAGCCCTGGAGGAGATCCATATAGAGGGCTTATAAGGAGATCTTATTGTAGTTTATAATTTTGAGTAGTTATTTTCTTCTTTCTGTTTCGTTGGTTTAGATTTTATCAATGTTGAATTTTAACAGTATCTGCGTTATGAACACCTTAGTCTGCATGACTACGTCCAAATTATCAAGCTTTCTCTTGGTTTCCCTGTGTTTATTCATTACTACGTTGGTCATTGGAGAGACGTGCATTAAAGTAGAGTGTGGATGTCAATTTAAGAATGGATCTGGGACTTATGAAATTTCGATGAAAGGAATCAGTAGCAATACATCAGCCACGTAAGCAGTCCATCATTTCTCAACATGTTTTTTTAGTTACATTTTATAATATAGCGCTCCATTTGGTGGCCTAAAGTGTTACTATTTCTGTTTCCGTCGAATCGCGCTAAAGTTTTATCCATTACTTCAAAATGTATTTCTATACGTCCAGTTTTTAATTCCTTAGGCATTGTATACTAGACAACTTGTTCTATTTTCATAGCTTTACGGATATACCAGGTACAGGTGATACTTGGACTTACCTGTATGCTATTGACCCTTGCTATGGATTTTATGAAAATACTGACTGTCAGAGTGTATCAGTAAGTTTTATCTTGATTTTTGTAACTGTCCTATAGCAAAGAAATATTATCTATTTAGGCCTCAGTTATACTATACATGATATTGGATTATTTTTGTACCGGATTTCTTTTATTCCAGATCTGCATGCGTTTTGGTTACACGATGTACACATACGTGCCGCTGCCAAAAAATCACTCCGCTTTGAAAATTAATCCGGCATGGTCATGGCGCCATGTAACTGGACGAATCCAATATATTCCGGGCATCGTTATTCTATATTTTCACAAGTTTTTTTTGTCTGTTTCAATGCACGGCCAATGTAGCCAATGTAATATCCTGTTTTGTTGTTAACCAAAATGTAAATGGGATAGATTCTGCATGTATTGGAATGGAGTAGACAATCTGATATCCGAAAAGTTATGCCAGGAAATATGTAACAGGAAATATGCCCCACCCCACACCCCCCAAAAATATGGCTCCTCTCCAACTTGACGTCATGACGATCATGTTGGAGGAACTTTAATACAAAGTATCTCTGAATTTGGAACGTGTTGTCCTCGAAACCATCAATAGGCATACAGCTATTTCAATTAAGGTTGTCCCCCGAGCAAAGCGGGGACAACCTTACAATCATACATGTAAATGGGGGGTTGATGGGGGACAAATGTTCGATATCATCCTTGAAAACAGTAAATTTCGAGCACACAAACAAATGACAACAGATCAGCTAACGTACGGCTGCAGGTTTTGTTGATTTATCCCGCTAATCGTGCATAACTTCCCCGCATATCGCCATGGTATTTTTATTAATCCCACTTCCCACCATGGAATAAAATCCCGCTTCCCGACCAATATTTCTCTTAAAATCCCGAATCCCACTTGAATTTTAGACGCATATCGCCATCCCGCAAAACCGGTACAGGCCCCTCTTAATTGAAATAGCTGTATACGTTTGCATGTTTTCAAAGATATTTGGACATGTACAGTAATAACAGAAATAATCTAAGTAAGAGGAGTCTAACTGCAAACAATTGTGACACATTTTAAAATAATTTGTCCGACCTTGGCTTGGTAGAAACAGAATAAAACTTAAGGCAATGCTCTAGTTTCGAGAGCGCCCAGTGTTTGTGACCAGTGGCGTAGCCAGCTCGATAAGTGGGGGGGGGGGGGGGGGGACATATTCATATATTCGTATTCTGCATTAATAATAATAATAATGATTTATTGGTAAGAGTGGCTCTTCGCTTACCAAATTATATAAATTATAAAGTATTCATAAAGTCTATAAACTATTTTACGAACATTACTGCAATATATAACTTTGAATATATAACGTGTTCGACAGGACAAAATATTACTTACAAAATTACGAAATTAACTAAGTTAGAACAAAACTGTACGAAACTATATACATTTAAATATTTCTTTCTAAGATTATCCAAGTCTTGACCATGCTTTCAAGACTAAGAAATTTTTGGTCTCATTGTAGAATACTCTGTAGTCTCTGCAGTTCCTAATTTATTCTGGTAATTGGTTAAAAAGATGTGCTGATTGGTCCTGTAATGTGTTCTTAATTAAAGGGACTTGAACCTGAGAGCCTTTGCTTGATCTCAGAACTCGAGAATGTTGAACCAATTGTAGCATTTGGTAACTTGGCCAATTTTCATCGTAAAGCGCTTTGTAACTTAATTTTAGAACGTTCCATTCACGTTGTTCCTTGATAGGCAACCAGTTTAACGATAATACGTCCGCTGATCTAGCGAATTTACCTAGCACGAAACTAGCTGCTGCTTTCTGTACCCTTTGTAGGCGTTTCTGTAAGTACTCTGGCAGTGAATGGTAAATTACGTCGTTATAGTATAGTTTTGATAAGACAAGAGCCTGTACTAAGTTCTTACGGATTTTGAATGGTAAACTGTTTTTTAGTTTTCTGAGCGTGGCAAGGGTGGAGTAACAGGATGAGGCGATGTTTTTAACATTCTCTTCCCATTTAAGGTGTTCGTGAATGTAAGACCCTAGTAACTTTGTAGATTTAACTCGCTCTACGTGCGTGCCATTGATTTCGATATTGATGGAGACATCATTCAGAGAATGGGAGGAAGCCAGTTGTGCGGTGGACAGCATCATGACTGTGGTCTTTGATGGATTGATGACCAGGTTGGCTTCACTCGACCATTCTTCCAGCTTGCGAACACTTGACTGTATATCAGCTACCGCATCTTGGAGACTCTCGGGTTTGCAATGAGTGTAAAGGGTTGTGTCGTCGGCGTATTGATGACATTTGTCTTTGATGTACGATTGAAGGTCAGCAACATATAGATTAAAGATTAATGGCCCTAATATAGACCCCTGAGGAACGCCGAAGTTGACTGGACACAAGCCGGATGTTTTGTCGTCAATTTGGACGAAATGCCGTCTTCCAGTTAGGTAGTTCACCGTCCATTTAAGATATTCGTTTGAAAAACCTAACTGATTGAGTTTCGTTAACACAGTTTTATATTTAATGGTGTCAAAGGCTTTCGAAAAGTCAGCTAGGACC